AATAATATGTACTACAGATAAAAATGTATTTAGATATTAATAATCAATAAAGAAATCGAGGCAAGACCTCACTTTTATAAAAAAAAAAAAAAAAAAAAAAAAAAAATTAATAAAAATTCAAAAATTTTAAAATTTAATATTAAAAATATTTTAAAATCTTAACTTTAACTAATCATAACTTCAATTATTACAATTAATAATACTTTAATTTTTAAAATTTTACTAATTAATTTTATTTTTATGCTTTAAATAATTTTGCTTTACATATAAAAAATATGTATAAATTATTAAACTTGAATATGTTATAAATTTTGAACTGAAATTGAACCAAAATTTAAAGTTCGGATTTAGTTCTAGTTCATAAATTTAAAATTTAATTAGATTCAAGTTCAAAGGTCTGCAAAATTACAGGTCTGCAAAATTTTAAGTTTAGTTCAGATTCAATTAAACTTGAACCGACTTGAACCGACTTGAACTTCGAAACACTACAAACAACAAAATAATATAATTTTATAATATATACAATGTATTTTTAAGTTAAATTATACAAATTACAGTTTAAATAAGACCTTGAAAACCTTTTTGGTCGTATTTAAATAGTTTTAGTACTTTACTTATGATAATGTAATGTTTTGTATTATAACCAATAAATTTACTATCAATAAAGAACCAAAACCGGGTTTCACTCTTCAAGGAAAAATTTTTTAACAAATAATAACATTACTAAATTAATGCTTTTCAAAATATTTAAATAACATACCTTTTTATAAACCATCATATAGAAATATTATCCTGATATTGTGAAACAGAACAGTTCCTTTGCAAAATCAAAATTGCATCCCACCCTTTTATCTTCACTTTCCAATCTTTCATTTTTTGTGGGATTACAGTAATACTGTATTACGGAAATATAACAGTTTTTACGGAAAATAATACATCAAGTGATGTAACCGTTAATGAATCTCAACGTCAATTATTGCTATAGTTAAGAATGGATACAATAATGATGAACTATCGATTAAAGAGTTTCTTTTTGATTGTAAATAATTGTGGCAGCTTATGCTGAAACAGTGTCTTATTTCTCGTAAAATTATAAAATTTTGGGGCCTTTTTTTCATAGTATTATTAATAAAAGGTTATATGTGAATTTTAGTAGATGTTATAGATCAAAATGGGACCCAAATTTCAGCATAAGCCGCAACAATAATTTTCGTTTTTCAAACGTTATCCTAGGATTGCATTTTTTTTTTTATTGTTAAATGTATTTCATTTACCCATTAAAAATTACATGATACCCATCGATATTCAAAACACAATAATTTTCAATCAATAGTAGCTAATCTCTCTTTTATCAAAAATTCCCAAATAGCTTCAAAATAACCCGGTTGAGCGACAGTATCCCCATGTTTACCATTCGGAAAATCTCGGAGCTCCTTTCTATTTCCTTCTACTGAATCATACAATTTCCTCACGTGCTCTTTTGGAATAAGTTCATCGTCAGTTCCAGAAAGAAATAAAATCGGAATATTTTTTATATGTTTTATGGCTTTTTCAGATTCCCATTTTTGTGTACATAAAAACGAAAAGTATCGGAGCTGAGGAACTACATGCGGTACTAATTTTGGCTGTAATTTGAGTTATTTATAAATATTCTTTAGCTTTTGAAAGAGGCCTTGTTATGATATATATTGGTTAATAGTAAACACTTACGATACTCAGGAAAGTGTTTTCGACTATTAGACCGGCTACCTAATAATTAGAAAAGGTAATGGGATTAGTTTTTGAAAATTATGAAATTTAAAAAATAAGTAAGTTAAGACCTTGCTTTCGTTCTTTGAAACTAGGTCAATTGCCACAGCACCGCCAAGTGATTGGCCATATAAAATAATTTTTGTCTTTTTAAGTATTTCATGATTACAAATGTAATTCAACGCCGTCTAAACAAAAAAAGTAATTAAATAAGTTTATTTGAAGATTAAAAAAAAAGGGTTAGTCTTACCTGTGCATCAATCTTGAGGCCCTTCTCTGATGGGGTTCCTTCACTACGACCATACCTACAATAGTTTGAATGTTTAAGAAAAATCTTGAAAGATGAATTGATCAATATTTGACAATCGTCTTACCCTCTATAAGATAGCATCACAACATTACATCTGAAATCATTATAGAATCGCTCAGCAATCGGTATGCAATGTCCCTTTATTTAAAATCATAATAATTGTTAAGTTTCTGATCATCATAGGTAACTATTCTTTATATTAATTATAATGTAGATATATTACAACGTTTCCTGCATTGCCCTGTAAAAAACAAAAAAGAGAGATAAATAAGTAATATTCCTACAACATTCAGAGTATATATAAGCATTTAGAGTCAAATATAAACATTTAATACACACATGAAAAGTTAAAATAGTAGGTCGCCTAAAAGCTATTTGTTCATTAATTTGTTGCAAAACATAAATTCGGATTTTTACTTTATCCTGTGTGATTAATTCAACATCTTCGTATTTTGGAATCCCATAATCTGATGGATTTGGGACCTTTTTTTTTAAATAGCAAATTAAAGAAAAACTAAATATTAAGGAAAACAAATTGAAATGATTTTACACTCATACATATTCCTTTGATCCATCTGGATAATCTGAAAGGTATAAAAGATTACATTGGAATGATCCAAGAAACGTCATGCCAGCAACAAAGTATTTAAAATATCTTGAAATTCCATCCATCTTTGAACTACTAACTATATAGAGTTGAGTTTTTTTTTTTTTATAAAATAAACGAAAGATTTTTATATTTATAGGAAACGCTCTTATTGGTTCAAAAAAAATAAGAAAGATCGTCTGTGCATTTTCCAACCTTATGGAAGGGAACCAAATTAGGGAAACAGAATATATACTAATAATTAATTAAGCCTAATTAAAAGTTCCAACATCACGGTATAAGAAACTTTGCATATAAGAAATGAAATCCTTACTATTATAACTCCAGGGAAGTAAATAAGGAAAAGCTCGTACGTACGTAACTTAAGAACTTCACGTTAGATTGCAATAACTAAAAATGCTAGATGAGTAAGCATATAAGCTCTATATAATAATTCACACTTAAACTAGCATTTATTAACAAAGTAATTTATCGTTATGGGGTAGTCGTAACATTAATGGCTCAAATGTTACGTAAATTGCATGAATCATATGATATTCACAATATAACCAATTCTGTGTGAAACCAGAGCATGTAGGGACATAGGTACGTACGTACGTACACACCCACTAAATACGATATATCCATACGATATGCACTTATCACATTATCGTTATTGTCCAGCCCCCTAGAATATAAAGTTTAATTGGTTAATCTAAGTATTACCGTTACGGTCCAAGAATTAACGTTATGGTTAGGTATTATCGTTATTGTCCTTATTGTCCGAAGTACGTACGTGCGTACGTACGTACATACCAATATGTACGTACATACGTGGCATATTTTAAATACACACAACAGTGGGGTTGTCGATGTACTATGTAAATCAAATCTATATGTAGTTCTATATGAAAATTAATTGTGATGCAATGTTCATAATAAACCAGTATACGTAGTTTTGATAAATTTAGTATTTTTCAGGTTATGAAAAAAAGCTCTCCATTGTATTAAAATATGCTAAAAATTTTAAATAGATTAACAGTTACACGATATGTCACATGAGTATTTTTTTAATATATAGTCAAATGATCGATATACAGTACTTAGGTAAATTTTACTTTCTAGGCTTATTGTCCGGAGCAACATTTCCACACACGTGATCATTATAGATGATCTGCACATACTGGACAATTTTTTTAATTCGCTCCGGATTTATAACAGCGTCTGTTTTCCTAGTTTAATAATAAAGAAGCTATCAGTTTAAATTTATGGTTAACATTTTGCAAATACTCTTGCATTTGAAGGTTTTTTATATAAACTTTTAAGTGTAGTTAAAAATCAGATTGAAAAGAATCTTGATCATAAAGTTGATCAATTTTTTTATCATTATTATTTTTGTTATTTATTTGAATACAAACACCTTTAGTGATCCGAACCGAGCTAAAAATCGTCAACCGATTAACCGACCCGGACCTAACCGAGTACAATCGGCTTAACCGAACGTGTTTCGGTTAGCTCGGTTGATTCGGGTCAACCGAGTTAGGTCAACCGGGAAAATTAAGTTAATCGAGTTATCTGGGTCAACTTGGTTATAGAGATGGAAGTTTATATCTAACGATCTGAATAATCCGAATATTACTAAATATTCGGATAAATTTTTGATTTCAGATAATTAAACCGGATTATTCAGCTATATGATATAATAATAAGATCGTACTTTATATAAGTTATCATAAACTGAGTTTTTATTCGGATCTGTTCTTATATCATAACGATGGGAGATATAAAATTCACGATCGAAAGTATCTGCATGATAATAATTCTTTATTCGGTTTATCCGAATACTGTATCTGTCAGTGTAAGTCACAAACAGAAAAGCAGATACAGATAAGCTCAATTTTATCTGAATGGATAGACGGATCTCATCTCTACCTGGTTACAGCTGTTATCATAATTTCTGTAACTCCCAATAAAAATTAGCTGAATGATTTTTGCCAGGTTCCCGAATTTATAAAAACAGCTGTAATATCGTAATTATTGTTTTACGGATCATTATGACGATAATGTCAACGTAATTATTGTTTTACGGATCATTATGACGATAATGTCAACGTTATTACTGTATTACAGTATTTTCATAAAATTCTGGAAATCTGACCGACCAATTAGATAAGGTTTGATAAACTTTTGATTCGAATGTAATCACATCCGAATCAAAACTTATCGAATCAGCAAATATTCTGTCGTTTAATTTTTGTCAGATTTCCTGAATTTATAACAGCTGTAAATTTACTTATCCAACATGTTTCGTCTGTTTATAAATTTGGCATAGATTGGGTTAACCAATTATAACAGGTTAACTGATTATGCCAGGCTAGCGATTATATTGGGGTAACCGATTATCCGGATTATTTCGGGATAGTCGATTTAGCATTTTATCCAACTGGCTTACCCGATTTTTTTCGGTTCGGTTCGGTTACCGATTAAGGCTTAACTGGTTCAGATCACTACTTCAGGAACATTCTTACATTGTAGAATATATATTAATTATACATGCGTATTTGATGCTAAATTTAAGTAGTTTATCTATATTAACAGAATTGATCCGTATTATTTCGCCTACAATCACTTCATAGACACCACATTTTATCAACAATTATTCACTGACAAGTTCATTTTACCGACAGGTTATTTCACCGAAGTTCATTTTACCAACAAGTTTTTTTTATAAATTGCACTAACTTTAAGGGTAGGATGTATGTAGATCATTTTTCATATGACCTAGATAGTATAATGAATTTTTATTTTTTTATTTTATTTTAGTTTTTTTTAACATTAAAGTCTCTACTTTTGGGGAATAATGAATTTTTATATAGTAAATTAAAATGTGTTATTAATAAATTTTTTTATTTTTTAATGAATTTTTATCAAAATTCAATAATATATAGATTTAAATAATTTATTTATTATATTAAAATTTTATAAGATGTTAAATTTAAAAAAATATTTGTATATATCTTGAATTTTTTTAGATTATTCTATATTTTTTAGGTTATACAAAAAAGTTAACTTTAATTGGTTAATTTTTGAAAATTATAAGAGAATTTTAATATTAAATTTTTTTTTAAAAAAGAAGTTTTTTTTCTAGTTATTTATTTTAATAATATATAATTAAGTGCAACTAGTACAAATTGATATATTAAACTAAAAAAGTAAAGATTAAGATGAATTTATTTTTAACCTATTCTTAGTTAGAATAGTTAAGTAATTTTTAGTTTATGAGTTCAATAAAAAAAGATGTTTAGTTCAATTATATAAATCTATTAAACTATATAGTATATTATTTATTTATTTAAGTTAATAATGTATAGTCTGAGTTAATATTAGTAAGAATTGGTGAAGATAAGATATGCTGTTAAGTATATGTTTTACTTAGCTATTTTTTTTTAATATTAATGATAAGATTATGCTTCTATCTTTATTGAATATTTAATTGAGATTTTATTTAAAGTACAATTTTGTTTTTAAAATATTATAGAAAGAATAGAAGCTTAGACTAATTTATCTGTAACCTAAACCAACAGGAGTGACCAAGGCTCATCTAGATTTAAGTATTAGTAATTATGTATAGATGATTAGTTTGATATTTAATCTATTGGATATATCAAAAATTTATTTTTGAACTAATAGAATTAAATAAAAAAATATAATAAAAGTAAAACAGATTTTGAAAGTATGTAGTATTAAGAAAGTTAAGCTGTAGACCTTAAAAGACAATATGAAATTTAGATTTTATAATAAATTTGTTAATTAAGATGAAATAAGAACTTGATAACAAGTGTTATAATTATTTTTTTGAATGACAAACTTGTAATAATTTCAATAAGTTCATTTGGTATTAGATCTGTTAGAATTAAAAAGACTAAAGGTAAATCTGATATACTGTGAATAATTATACTACTCAACAGCTTAATTTGATTATGTAAATTGATTATAATATTTGAAATAATATTAAGTGTTTTAGTATTTAAAGTATGTTGTAATGAAATATTTATAAGACTTATAACAATTGATTAGATGAATAGCATTAATAACAGATAAATAAATATGAGTAATATTGTTTGTATAAAATATTTGGAATAAAAAAATTATCTAGTAAAATTTTAATTCTAAAGAATTTAAAAGTAAAAGACTGAAAGCTATATGAAAAGTTTAAGATTTTTTGATTTTTATTAATATATAGCCAAATAGCTTACCAATTAACTTGATTAAGGTTTTGTATCATTTTTGAAAACAATTTTGTATAATCTATAATGTATAAATATATGCATAATATATTGTATAAATATTGTAATAAATAGATAATTCTAAGAAGAAGTTTTTGAAATTTAAAATATATGCAAGATTGTAAATATTATAAAACATAAAAGTAAGATATAACAAATTATAGTAACTATGTACAAGTTGGTCTGCAAGGTTATTGTACTGATTATCCTAATGAGCAGTGATATTGTAAAAAATAATATAAATATTATATAATTTAATAAAATTAATAAGTATATTTTATAATAAAAAATATATATAGGATAGAATATGAGTTGAGCTTGAAAGACTAAAATATTTAAAAATTACAGACTATAAGTCAGTATATATATATATAGTACAGTTTTTAGAGGCAGTAATAAGAGCTAATAAGATAGCAGTAAGCTTAGACTTAAATAAGCAAAACTAGTATCTTGTTTAAAATTAAAATATATGCAATATTGTTGTTTAAAATTTGGGCCTATCTAATGCCTATAGAGTATTGTAAGATATCCAAATTAATAACTAAGCTATCTGTATAAAAATAAAGTTCTGATAATTGTGTATTGTAGTTAGTAATTTGTTGAAAGTTGTCTGTTAAAGTATTAGGTTCAAATATAGTTGAGATTAAGTATGTTGTAATGTTGATATTGAGAGGTTAGAAATTTGAATAAAATATCAAATTGCAATAGAGTATATAAGATTAAGATACTTAGTATTAAAGTTAAGAGTTTTGTTATATATATTAACTTGATCAAAAAATCTAAAAAAAAGATTAATAAGA